TCCTGAACAAAATCATTCTATTAACCATGCCTTTTTTAGATCATGTTGATTGTGACACACTAAGCGTTTAGTGCTGCTAGCATTCAATGGTGAAACAGTTTAACTTTCTGGTACCTTACCACTACCAATATAATGCATGAAATATTTCAAAATACATGTTATACAACTACTTATAAAACTAGTTTTCAGTGTATTGCTACGTAAAACAACTTTTGAAATCGTCAGGTCCACAACAAAATACTTTGATGGAAGAAAATCATTCTGATTTAAATGCGATTTGGCGAAGAACCGATCCCCAGAGTTTGAAGATTTGCAAAGTTTCCCAACAGGTTTTTCAAACTTTAACACAAGAAAGTTGAGAGTTCTATTCAGTTAGTCTGATTGGTACGCAAGATATGTAGAGTTCGATTTCACCAACACGTTTGTATGGTATAAAACATCATTTAACAAATACAAGGTATTCTTTTATATCTACATTTATAGTGAAAATAGTAACCTAGAGAACGAGATACAAAAAGGTAACCTAGAACCATTTTACTGCCTACCAGTTGTAGGAGTGCATACTTGACAATAGGACGTTGTTTTTTTCTAAAATATTTTAACTAATTTCAGGTAAAATTACTTTAGGTATCATTTATTTCCCAAAATGATTTTCAAAAGATTAAAGTACCTGTAATTTTTTTTTTTTAATTGTTAAACGATTATAATTCACTAATGGTATCTGAAATGCATTATACTTGACAAGTGAGTCCAGGTAAACGCACTAATAAAGTTAAAAAAGTAGTTATAAGAAAGCATATATTTTAAAATTCTACTGTTTTTAAGAATTATTTTATGTATCACATAAATAACACTTCTTTATCAAAATCATAACAAATCAGTTCAAAATATTTGTAGCATGGCAATTTTTGAATAAATAAATAATTTGTTAATTTGCCTATCTGATGGTAGAATAAAAACATTAACTTAGGTTGGTTAAATATTCCGGGTAAATATATTAAATAATATAAATGTTTGAATGAACTATGTATTGAAGCTACTTCGAAAAAATATTCTTTAAATGTAAAAAAATCATGTATGTTTTCACCGTCTGTTTTGATACATTAGGATGATAAAAACCATCAAAATCCCTTTTACTCCCAACTAATTTATATTTATTGTATTACTCGAGTAGGTTTAAACAATCAGTGCTTTTGCCGGTAAACCAAACTCAAACACAGAGTCCTCTATTATTGACGAGAACTGTTAATTACTACTCATTGTTGATGACGAAACGATGCAGTTTCAACATTAGTGTTTGCCTACCTTTGCAGTATCGGAGTTTACACTAACTGATCTAATTTAGAACTTAATTAATTAAGAAAAGCATAAAATACCATCTTTTAGCTAAACATTTGCCCAGTCATTAAAACATTTCATAAAACTTATTTTGGATGCGTTATTTTTCTAGATTTTTAAATATTTTATCGTGAAAATATTTATCTTTATGGTATAAAACCGTAGGCACGATTAGTAATAGGCCTATTGCTTTTTCAGGATAAATGGCTTAAAAAAATTGTGCGATTCCATAACTAGGAAATGTTTGAAACTTTTTAATTCTGCAAAGTTTCACACAACCTTTTGTTCGAAAAAAAGAAAGTAAAATAACCCTACAAACACCTGTTATATATTTATAAAGGTGTATTTTCTAATATGGATTATGAATATAACCGTATCTTACAAATAATACATCGTCAACAATAATTTATTTAAAATCAGATACCTGACAAACCAAGCGTAATAACGGACATCAAATTACAGGCATAACAAGTGCCTTAAGGGAAATTTAAAAATATTATCATCATATATATTAAAACGTGACTTTCACTATTCTGAATCAACCACTTGACGGATTTTCATAGTTTTTGTGTTGAAATAAAGATAATTTTGAGAACTATGTAATGTCGAAGCCATAAGTTTAGGGTTTCAGTTTTTTTATTAAGTTTTAATTATCTGATTCAGGCAGAAATTACTAGGCTTGGATGGCATCTAACTGCACACCGACACAAAATCACACTAACCTAGACACTTTTAGAAACACTTAATAGGATTCCGTACACCAGCATCGACAATAACCAGGATTTCAATTAGGCTGAGACTTTGTTGGAAAACAATCACAACACTATGAAACACGTTAAAAAACACACATCAAACCCACTATGTCAAGGACACAACACAGTTAAATACTTTATAGGGAAGAAAAACTAGTTTTGACGCCTAATCATTATTATTATTATTTGTATTTTTCTCTGCTTTGTGTTAATGCACATGCATGGGCATTTAACAGTGAGGAGAGGTTATGTTCAAACGACTTTTTATGTTTTTATTTTTTTCTCAATAAGGTGAACTTGGCACCGCCTTTGCAGTGCAAAAAAACAGTTCAAACATGGTTTACGAACCATGAAAAACAAAGAGGACCAAATATATAAGCAATCCAAATAGTACTCCATAGATTATAAAGTAATTACTTATGTCATTACATTTACATTTTTTAGTGTGCTGCCTGTTACTTTGTTTCAAGTTAAGGTGCCTGCCACAAACCACCGTAGAAATAGTATATTTAAGAATCTTTGTTCTAGAAAATAAGTAAAAAAATAATCTTTTTTCGTTAGCTATATGCATTAATTGGACCTCGCCGACAAGTTTTTTTTTCCTTGGTAAGGCCAAGCTGTTGTAATTCTATATAATAAAAACAATTGAATTTTAATTTGATTTTTTTTTCTAGAAGCCGACGGTTACATTCTAAACTAGCTTCTGGTATAATATAATTTGCTTAACGTAACAGCTGTAAACTTTTACCGTTTCTGACACAACTTCAGCATTTAGTTAAAAATGAAATGACATACTTAGGGGTGACTTATTTATACTATGTGTAATGCTATAATAATTGATGCATTAATTTATTCAGTAATATGACCGATTATTAAAATATACATAGGTAGTAAAATACTAGATGTTCTAAATTATTTTTTAGATCAGTCTTTAAAATCTTTAGGCTACATGTTTCATACAATTTGACCAACCAGCAAGTTGATCTTTTTCAACCTGCAGTTTTTAACCCATACGATGTAAAGTAAAAAGCATAATATGTCATTATTATATAACGCTTTAATAATTTATCAACGTGACTGTATCTTAACTACCCTGTATTATACGGGGGTATTGTAGATTGTTTGTGTTATATGTAAATTACACATTAATACGGTGAATAAATTTAACTTATATGATTTAAATTATATGAGTTAAACGTAAACTAGACTAAAGATACGTCAATCACCTCCTGAGCGGGTACCGTGGCCATGGCTAGTTGGCATGAGTGTTTATTGTTGTATAAATAACATGTAAACATGATTTGGCTCTACACAATACCCGTGTGGGTTGCCTTGTATACTCTATTCTCGGCCAGATATTGATCTGAGGATCTTAATTAAAATGTTACCATTACTGTTCTAATAACCATAACCCACATACACACATGCATAAGCCATAACAATCTATCATTCTGATACTTTATTGCGGGAATTTCCATACCTTAATTGAATGCAATGGAAATAGAGTTGTGCTATTGCTTGATCGCAGTGTGATAGTAATCGTAGCCTAATTAATATCACAATTAAGTTCAATTGGAATATCTTTATTCTACTCTTTTTGACTTTTATAGTAATCAATATAACCTTTTTACAAATTTACAGCATAACTTGAACTGTTTGGTCTTAGATGGAGGTTTTCAATTTACAACTCAAAACAATGAAAAACTTTTGCATTATTATTTTGATAATTATTTAACCAATTAAATATTTTCATAAGATTGTGGTGTATTTTTGTTTCATATTTTAATTAATTTACCTTTCCACAACCAATCAATGTTTGAAATGGTCGGCATTATTGGAGTTAGTTGTACGTAGATGAATATTTTAAAACCACAACCGTACGCTTTTTACAGATAATCTTATTAAATATAGTGGAAAACAGACGTAACTTAGTTTAATAGATACCAGTATAGTAAACCCAAGTACATTTTTTTAAGGCTACACATCTTTGTCATGTCTGGCTTGTTTCTTATGTTAATGGTTTGGTTCACAGATTTCGTCACCAATAATACAAGCAAGTTTGCTATTAATAACATTTTAAAAACACTAACCATTAAATCACCAGTTATATTAACATTATTCAACATAACCAGCCTAAAAGATTAAGTTCAGCCGTCGAACCGGATGCACGGTAAATCAAAACCCGACCCTCTGAATTGATTTTATACAAACACACTCATTTTAATTTAGTTTATAAAATTAATAATTTTACGCCCATTTTTTATTGGCGGTTAGACAAACTAAATCAAACAATTAGTGATTCTTACATTTTATTTCTTTACACTAACTTTGAACTTAACGAAATATCTTTGTAACTACTATATTTAATAGTTAGTAGTTGAAAATACTAAGAGGTAGTTTAAGTTAGTTATACGCACGACAGAAAGCATCTCATCATAAAACGATATCTTTCGTAGCTGCAATAAAAACATTTTACGTTTAACATTAAACAGCCAGTATAAGCTTATAAACCGATTATAATAAATAGTGTTCCTAAAATTGCCTTATCAAGTTGATTTTCCTGGGAATATAAAAACATTGGCAGCCGTAACTTAGACAAAGTTTGAAAAAATAGTTAAGAATCAATAGATAAGAGTACTTTCATATCACTATAATAACCGGTCCTATTTAATGTTATTTTTGGTAGTTCCTCCTTTCAGTAGAAAAGTTTTTTGTTGTTCATTTTTTTGTTCCTATTTAAGTAGTTCTAAAATCTAATTTCGTATCTAAAGAACTGTTTTAGATATTTATTGTTAAACTTTTCATCTTTGTATACCATACTGAAAAATTTTACTTATTATTCTAGGATTCCAATGAGTTTCTCGTCCTAAAATTATAAACCGTTAACAGATCACAATGGGATGGAGTTACCTGAGAGTTGAAGTAAGACGTAGAGAAGTACAGGCAAGATGGCTGCTCCTGAAGTCATTGTGGTTTCTTGCTCCTTCCGGATCCGGGACAAAACCTTGCTTATTGTTCACTTTGCTCCGCAAACTTTAAACTAACTGAAAACAAAGCCAGTCTTAATTTTGGTCCGTCCCACTTTGATTCACTGATTCGAAACAAAACTTTCTTACGCTCGAAATACACTTTAGCTTTATATGACACAAAAAGTTTTCAAGGAGCTTCACCAATGTGATTGACTAAAGATGAATAAAAACAGTTTTTAATTATCGTTAAAAACTATTTACTATTGTTGCAGTGTGCTTAAATGTGTTGTCCAGAAAGTACTGCGGTGTGTTGGTTAACTCGTTGCCGATTTTGAGTGGTAAAAAAAACAATAAAGAATAAAATAATATTTAATTTGCAATTAATTATCCAGGCTATGCCCACTTTGTTTTGCATAGCGGAAGTTTTTAATAAATATATGAGTACGTGAGACTAATTTTACAGTCAATTCTATTTTGGAAAAAGTTTCCAGAGTGTCCGTAAACGTTATTATTCGAAAAATGAATTGAGGTCCTGTTTTGTCGAAATCTTGTTTAAATGTGTAGGGCTGTATAAACTTCACTGAATTTAAAAACCAGCAAAATCTGACAACAAAAAAGGGGGATGATAAATTTTTTCATTTTGCTTTAAAAATTTTTATTTTATTTATTTTTTGTTTAAAATATGAAGTGTCTGATCTTTATTACAGCAACCACGTAGAGCTTAAAACCCCGATATTTGTTTTTAATAAAGCCATAGTTCTTACAAAGAAAATTCTATGCTTATTTTTTCTCAAGAAAAATAAAAAAAAAACTGTTTGTGGTTTACATGTTTATTTGACTATTTTGAAGAAAAAATAAAACATTATTTTTTTATGATAAACTATTATAATTTTATTTAAAAAATCGCCGTTTTTGTCCCTAATGTATAAAATATAGATATTGCTATTATAAATCTAATGTGTAAACATTGGGGATAAATTTGACATTCATAAGCACTTAAAATGTTTTTCCAAAATCCATTTAGGCGAATGAATCTAAATTTGCTAAGTAAAGAAGCTTTCCAATTATATATTTAAGTTCTACTTTAATAAAAGTCCTTGTAAAAACAAATTTAAAACCTTATACAAATAATTGAATATAAATATTGAAAATCCAGTGCAGTTTAAAAAGAACACCCGTTCTTTTAAAGAGAATTGTATGCAACAGTAATATATATTTCATGAAACCATGAACCAACATATAATGGCTTTTGTTGAATCACTATATATATTCCTAAAACGCAGTTAAAAATCATAAATATACATTTAACTATACTCAATACATCACATAGATATAAGTTATGTGAATTCAAATGTTCAGGTGTGAGTTAAATTTTAAATAAAAATGTATATTTTATAATTTAACTTAATTTAAAATTTGTACGAAATAGGCGAAATTCTGATTCCTGTTTGGCACCTGATAAAATGACAACATTGATCCATACAAGTTTTATTACAAAAATGACTAAAGTGATTATTTATTTTATCTTAAATAATTCTTAAGGCTATCAACCTATGATTGAAAAGGGTAAATAATATTTGAATTTAAATTAAAACCAACTTTCAATTTTGTATGCAATTCCTTAGGAGCTTTATAATGTCAATATTTTTCTACAAAATAAACTGTTTTTTTAATGCAAGGTCAATATCTCCCTAAAAATTAATAGAAGGAACTGTATATGTTTTATTTATTTTCCATTTGTTTATTGTTTACATATAATCAATGGCCTTTAACTTATATGAAATTCTTAGAATTATTGAAATATAAAAAGCAAATTTTTCAAAATGATATAAAATGGTTTAATAATTGTCATTTGTTAATTAGTAATGATAAATTACATTTTCAACTAATAATAATTCAAAATAACTTTTTATAATATGGCGTATATTGAAGTCTAGTTGAGTAAGATATAATCTATCTGCCATTTTATATTTCGTGATTGATTATACATTTTAAGATACTAGTTGGCCAGGTTTGAAACAGTTAATTTTTCGAATGCAAATGTTATTTAGGCTTGTCGTTAAGTTGATATCTTTAGTTTAAGAATGAATTAAGAAAGATTTGTTTTTCTTTTTAGAGTTAAAGTTTAGATTTTTTTATTCTTGATAAATTAATGTCACAAATATCATATAACAAATTGTTAGAATATCCTTTATGGACTAATATTCCATTGTGAGTTTAAGTAAAAAGCCCCAAATAAAACAAAATGACAAACTGTAATTTTCACCACATTGACCTTCTGTTATAACATTTATTCATAGTTCGGACAATAAGTTAATATACTGTACAGTAAGTATTTTCTAACTGATATATTGACTTTTCGTTGAATTAGAATAGATTTGTAGGTAAATAACGCCCATTCCGATCTCCGAGTAGTAAGATATAAAAATGATTTGTCTAGCACTGCAGTTAGTTTAGTATGATTTTATCAATCCATCGTTCAAAAGATATATTTATCATCAGGAAGGATAACATATGATATTTTATCATGTTTTAGAAACATATCTTAGATTTTAGATTTGAATATTGGATTAAAATATTTATATATATTTGTTAATTTTGATTACTTTTATAAAAAAACATTGTATAACTAACCCTTTATTATATTATTCAATTTAAACTTTCCAAATTTAAGTCTGCAAAACTAAAAGTGCAACGTAATTTGTTTCAACAAGCCATACGACTATTCTTAAACTTGACTATTCTTAAATATTACGAGTTCTCATTAAACTCTGATTAATAAGGAACTACCATAAAACTGACTCCTAAAACAATCGTTAGCCTACATTTATTCGTAAACTACATACTTTGTGCCACTTTTTTTTTTATTTATATCGAGAAAATATAACACATAAAAAAATAAAAAATTAAAGTTTATCAAGTTATTCAGGAAACTGTTAAAAATCTACCCAAAGTCCTAGCAATTGATTAGAGAGTTTAATAGATACTTTCACGGCCTAACAAAAAAACATCTAAAATCATTAAAACGCCCTTTTTAAAATCGCAAACCACCTTAGAAAACTAAATAAATATATAAACAAATAAGGTAAACCATAACTTACAACTCAAGACAAACAATTTCCCCAGACCCAACACTCACACTCACTCGCGATGTTCAGGGCGCCCCGCGACGAAAGTTCCGTGTTGCCCGGGTGGCGCGTGGACGCCGTGTGAGGGCTCCAGCCAGAGGCGGCTCTAGGGGAGGAGCGTGTGGGGCGCCGGCGCCCTCAGCTGCCCCCCCCTCCCCCCGGCCCACCACCGAGTAGCGTAATTATCCGTTGATTAAGCAGTAAATTAACTGAGCTCGGTTTCCTAACAATCGTCTTCCCCTTAAACTTATCTCTGACGCTTTCCGGGTATTAAATCAACTTCGTCTCGTTTAAATATTTAGGGATTAGGGGCTAGGTTTGGTAGTACACTTTAGGGTATTTAGTTGTAGCTGACTTTATATCTTTTATTTGTAGATAACTCGAATTTGTTTACGATTCATGTAAATTGTGGAGACAAGTTCTACATTTTAGCTAGTCAGCGGAGCAATGATGTCATGTATTGTAACCAATGAATCGTTCGATGATCAATGAACCAAGAACGCTTTGGAACCTCATGTTAAATAGTATGAATGTCTATCAAGGAAACAAAAAATGGACCAAAAGAACCTTAGATTTAGAGGTGGGTTTCCATAAGTTTATTAGTTTTGACTCTAATGCCTGCTAACTTTAATACAAATTTTCAAAAAATATTAAAAATTTAATATTGACATCTTAACATTGAAGTAAAATGAAGAACTGTTCATCTCGATTTGTTTAAAAACCCTTTAGAAATTCATGAAATTAAAATAAGGAGTTTTATGTTTTAATTCATAACAATTTACTGAATTCTATACAACTAAATTAACACAAAATCTAAAACTGAAATAGGATAACCAGGTTAAACATCTTAAAGTAAGAAATAATTTAATTTAATCATTATGACAGTTATGCGTTTAGTTCTGGTAACGCCAAAGTATGTTGGTGTCAACTGTCTGTATACTACTTTTCACAACTGCGAGCTATGTGGACATAACAAATAATGTCTACTATCAACTATCGCACTTACATCCTGGTTAGCAAAATCATCTCAAAATGAAACCTTTATTTACTTTAAAAGAAACAAGTAACATTTCTGGCTTAGTACAGGTAAAATTATACTAAAACACTAGTTGAAAACATAAACTCATGATCAATTATTTGGCAATAATTTATATTAACTGGATTATTTTAACTTAATTAATTTGTCATATTTAGTTTTGCATGAATAAATTAGTCTTTTTCTCATAAACAGCCAGTTGTATTGATTTTATTATGCTTATTTTTATTCTGCATCATAATAAACATAGAAAACGACCCCCCACTTTCTTGGATCCCAAAAATAAAAATTTTCTCAAAATCACTACCCCCAAAAACTATAACCCCCATTAAATGGTACTTCCACCCCCACAATCACTAGGGACTCTTCAGATTCCAAAACCTAATGGTAATTACTACGTTTACTGCAAGTTTCATGAACGGACCAATTTTTTCGTTTTCTGAGGTACGTTTTACCTGTACTAGCTTTAAACAGGCTTAATTCAAAACCGGCTTCACACGTTTTATCAGCTAGTTATTTTTTTGCCTCCTTTTACATATTTGGCCAATTTATGACCAACCTATTGGAACAAACTATTTCATGGATATTTTATATTATAGATTTTATTTTGAGAGGTTTCCAAGATATAATTTGTTACAGGTAGAGTAAAAGTGATTAATTTCACTTTGCCTTTTAATATGTTCTTAAGGTTCTTAATGGATTTATGTTCATAACGGATTTGGCTTAATCATATAGTCTAGTAAGCCAGTAACTTGTTTTGACACTTATTTTAAGCTACTTACACACACCACAGCGTGATGTCCATGAGCTATAAACATGAAGAATCGCACATTAAAGTAGATTTATATGGGTGTGTCTGACCTTTTCCATCGAAACATCAACTGTCTTAAGAGATATGGCTCGTCTACACGCCATTGCTTCATTTCCCCAGCGTTCGCTTTATTTAGGAATTCGTACTACTTGTGACGATGAGCTACACAGATACCAATAAACACATTCAATTTATTTCCAATATGTACTTATATTATATAGGTTAAAACGTGGAAGAAAGGAAGCCTGGAACTGAAAGAAGGTCCATTCGCTACAATCACAGACCTAGCAGATTCAAGGTTTATCTTATTTTCGCTAAAAAATGTTTATGTGAAATTATATAAATTACAAATTAGTAAAGCATTTGATTAAAATCAATTTAGTCTTATCAAAAGACGATCGTCGTGTTTTATTACTTATACATAACAACATAACATTTTTACTATGGTAAATATATTATTATCCCTAATTAATTATTCTTGAAAGCCCGTTTAAACTTATTCAAATTATATTTAAAGGCCTAACTTGAACTATATGGATGTCACTGGTGAAATATTCTAATATGGTATGATTCAGCAGAACTCGTGTAATGACAAGCATTGAAAAAGTGGTATGTAACTCAATAAATGTATGTAATCTACACATATTATATGCACAATGTACATTTGTTATTTAGTAATTTACCTTAGTGATTTGGTGTTTTTATCCTATTATCACTAACAGTGATTGTAAATAACACGTAAATATTTGACTTTATTCAAAGAACTTAAAGGCAAAAAATAAATACATAGTTTGTTTTCAATTGATAGATCTTAATCCAAAATATTACATGTCAATATTCTGAAATGTCATGGAGATTAACAGAATTGTTACGTAAATGTAAGCAAGATGTTTACTTTGAATTTCAACTTTTGGACTGTCTCTACAGCTTAATACAAATTATTTTCTTTGACTTTTATACTTTTAAACAATTAAGCCGTTGAAAAATCTTCGATATAAGATAATTTACATACAGGGTGAATAAAAAGTCAAGACCCTCCCTCTAATATTTTCCAAGTAAATATACAGAGATATTCTTTTGGTGGTCGTGCAATCTTAGCAGGAAGTTTCATTTTATGATTTTGAAATTTTTGAGTGTCCCCCCAAAAGGGGGGATTTGGGGGGCAACTAAAAATTGTACAATGTAAACCCCCATCAAGTGACACCTCATTTTGAAGTGTTTACAAAAACTTAAAGAATGGTGAAAATCAGAGTTCGCTATCTCTTCTCTATCCAAAATGGTAGCCAATATTACCATCACGAACCAATTTTACCATTGATTTTCCAAACATTTGATGGGCTACCATTTCGGATAGAGAAGAGATAGCGACCTCTAGTTTTCACCATTCTTTAATTTCAACACTCAAAAATTTCAAAATCATCAAATGAAACTTCCTGCTAAGATTGCACGACCACCAAAAGGATATATTTGTATATTTACTTGGAAAAATATTAGAGGGGGGGTCTTGACTTTTTATTCACCCTGTATAGGCCTACTAATTTTAGACACTGAATAAACTTGTATTACTCAACACAAGTACAATTGATTCAAGCAAAGAATGAAAATTGTATCACTTAACCTCGGAAAACTAATAAAAATAATTTATGTAACAGTATATTGTACTTAAAATACAGTTACACGATGTATCAAAAACCCTTATGTCTATAATAAATACGGAATTTACGAATGTTTACCAAAATACGAAAATACAACATCACTCGACACTCTGACATATCGTTCATCACATATCAATGAGGCGGAAGTTTTCAATCATTCATTCAACCGCCGTCGATACGTTTATCCAACATGTTGGCTCCTGTCAAGCAATTGATTCCAAATATCTCGTCTTTATGTCTATTTTTGCATTTGATTTAGATTAGCTGTAGATGAACTATGATTTTAAATGAATCTCTCAGGATTCCAAGACCTACTTCACATTGTACTATGGAAAATTGTTATCTTTTTTGTCTATTCTCTATAGGATACTATCTTTAACGCCAACTAAGTTCAAATATAGTCTTTAAATTAAAACCAATCGGTTTTTCAAATTGCAGTTTCTCACGAATATATATTTTTAGTTATAAAAATACAATGAGTTCAATAAATTAATTTGCTTAGATTCTTGAATACCTCAATTTAAACTACAAGCTTTATTTGGATAGCCCAGTAAAGTCAGTCTTATGGGGAAAATATCCTTTTAAGTAAATTAATTTTGTATAAATTAATTGCGAAGCAGTATGTTTATCTCAATAATAATTCTATTTATTTTTTCTTTTGGAAAATCGTTCGTCAACTTAGCCATGATTTGTATATATTTACTAACGGCAAGTGTTGTTTTAACAGGTAGGTTTGTTTTTGTTTCAGAGATTTTGTCAATAAAACACTTATATTTCATATGTATTTATTGTATTTTTAATGCACGGTATTGTAAGTGGTTTAAATTTTTGGTAGGTTAAAGGTATGATTATTGACTCCACTCATTACTTGATATAGAATGTAATCTAGCTTTATGTCATATTTCTTATTTGTTACAACAGCACTGTTTCTTTTTTATACATTATAACTAAAAGTATGTTTAAAAATACAATAATATTCGCTATGCATTGAAGTTACACGTTTTAACTAACATTTGTATGAAATTACATGTATTACTCACCCCATTTGTTATTTCATCACTCATACCCAACATTTATCTCTTAATTTTATCACTGTTAGCTATAAAAATCTATACAGGAGAGCGTCAACCGAGTCTTTTACTACCTTTTGGGACAAGAATGCGGCCATTGGATTCCACATTACACGGATCGCAGGACAGCTATCTTGGTTATAGGAGTCTCCTCCACAACCTCAGAACCTTTCTAAGCTGTAAAACTTTACAATACTCGTATGTAAGGTGCTCCACTTTTATTTGCGGCAGCTACACTGAAATTGTGATGCTTTGTCAGTAAGAAGAAACTTAATATATTTGTACTTACTATTTGCAACAAACTGTTTATTGTTAAAAATATTGAAGTGTCAGGGAACAGACACATTATGGTTGTGTTAGTTTTATCGTAAATTATTCAATTTTGAAGTAAGTGATTTTGTTGTTCAACTCAATCTAAGACTACAAACTTGTTGTTTGCATTACATATGTATTGCTTAGCGGCATGGATGATTTTACTTTAGAAACTTAGTTACATAACT